TTATTTATTTATTCATTCATTCATTCATTCATTCATTCATTCATTCATTCATTCATTCATTCATTCATTTCATTTCATTTCATTTCTACCCCACCTATCTGGTCATTGTGACCACTCTTGTTTGTTGAAAGCAAGGGCATGTTTCATGCTTGTCCCACTTTGGGGAGCTACAAGGAGCTTTTAGAAAGTTTTTTCTTCTTTTTATGGGCAGAGAGTGCTAGTGAGAGGCAGCTTTAATAGGGGAGATCTTTTTATTCACACCTTAAGCCTGGGGAAGAAGGCTTTAAGAACCTTTAAAGCAAACCCTTAGAGAGACACCCTCAACACACAGAAACCGACTGAAAACCTCCCCTTCCTCTGACTTCTGACTTCTTCACAAGCCTCATTCAAAGTCCCTGCTTTCCTTCTGGCCACACCTTCGCAGCCAGAGCAGAGGTTTGTGTCCCGTCCTGCAGGTAAGGAAGACTTGCACTCTAGTCCCTTGGCCCCTCAGCTGAGCATCAGTACCCACATTACAAGGAAGAGTAGGTATCGCTCTACAAAACCGTGCCTCTGTCTACAACAAAGGTAGTCACTGAACACAACCCACTACTTGCCGTTCCCATAATAATGCCTTAACCCCGAGTGACCTAGTGTCCCTCTGCAAAGAGGAGGCAAGGACTTAGCAGCTTTAACCCTGAGCGTCCTTTCCCCCAGCAAGCTATTGTTAGACACCTTGAACCAGAGCCCAATCCTGAACATGACCCCACTGCTTTTCAGGAGCAAGGAGGATTCCTTACTGCAACCTTTCCCCCCGTCAAGGCCAGAATCCCTTGGAGGATAATCTCCTGTTGAGGTCACCATGTCAGCAGCAGGCAGAGCTGAAGCCAGCCCTGGGCTGAGGCCGATCCTTTTGTATTTTCTCTGCCACCTCTTTTTTTCTCACCTCACCAATCTCTGGCTCCTGCACTCATCACCTTAATGGAGTAGATGGTGATGGGAAGGAAGGGCACTCTTGTGCTTACAGAAGCCAGAACTGATCATTTACACTAGAGATGGTTTGAAATGAGGTCAAAGGCCACATGGGCTGTAGGGCTGCTCATCTCTAGCGGAGAAAGAGAGGTCCAGGGAATACACAGTCTTCCGGATGCTGTGGGAGTCCACCTCCCAGCAGCTCCGGCAGCAGTGTGGCTAATAGTCAAGGATAATGGGAGCTGGAGTCCAAGAATATCTGAAGGGCTACTTGTCCCTCACACCTTGGGTAGCAAATGAGTACAAATTTACTAGGTCTGATTTCACTTTCCTCTTGTCTGGTACAGTCCTTTCCTGCTGCAGAGGAGCCTGCAGGTTGGATCTTCGACCAACTAGCTAAGACACAATTCAGCCTTGATTCCACTTCTGGATGAAATGGTGAGCGGGTAAGCGGGGGATCAGGAATGGATGGGATTAAGCACAGGGCAGTTTCCTGGCTGGCTAATATAGTTCTGTTGAAACATAACCATTTTAATTTATGGATAAGTAATCGAGCATTGAAAATTTCTTGTTTTATGTATTCTCTCAGCTGGGATTTTTAAAAATCTGCATTGGTCAGAATGGTGTGGTTTGTATGTGGAAAATATGAGTACAGTGGTGCCTTGCTTAGCAATCGCTCCGTTGAGCGATGAAATCACTTTGCGATGGACTTTTGGCCATCGCAAGAGCGATCGCTTTGCGATGGCTCCTATGGCTAAAATTCGCTTTGCAATGATCGTGGGGAAGCGATCATGGCAAAGCAAACTTTTTTTAAACAGCTGATCGGTGGTTCCAAAATAGCCGCCGCAAAAAATGGCTGCCGCTGTTTTGCCTCGCTGTAGAGGCACCCAATATGGCCACTGCTATGGAGGAAATTCACTTTGAGGTAAGTTTTTAGCCCATAGGAACGTATTAAACACGTTTTAATACATTCCTATGGGCTTTTTTAAATTGCTTAGCGATGAAATCACTTAGCAATGTTTTTTCCGGAATGGATTAACATCGCTAAGTGAGGCACCACTGTATTTTTCTACAGAGGGATAGTTATTTATCTGGAATATTTATTTGCCACTTTATATACAAATGGGCCCTTCTGAAATGGAAATCTAAATCTATCTATCTATAGAAGCACAGGAACAATATAAAACAATTTGAAGCACTTAAAAAAACAATTTCAAACATTCCAACAGTCAGTTCAAGGAAACAAGTTGTGAGAATAAGCACCACCTAGGGAATGCCTCCATGGAGAAATACATTTTCAGCAGGTGTTTGAAGTTCAATACTTGACAGCAGTGCTCTGAAAAGTTGCCCTTTTGTGACTAGGACTCCCCCAGCCACAAAGGGCCGCGGACAGGCTGGCTGTGAGATTCTGGGGTTTGCTGGGTGTATAAGTAATGCTTCTGCCTCACAGTTTATTCCCTGCCCACCCCCAGTACAGGACACAAGGCAATGAGAACCAACTTACTTTATGTCCTGCCTAATTCCAGACTCCAACCCTGCCCGCTCTCAGAATCGAGACATTTGGGGGAGCAACGTGGCTTACCGTTGAGTGTTTCCAGTAGTGTACAACCTCCTCCATGTTCTCTAATGGGTTGAGGATGAAGTGGTCCCGCCACTCATGCCAGTCGATGGTCATGGTGCCGTCCTTGTCGATACTGCGACATACACACACACATAGTACAGTAAAGTGAGGGTTCAGTAAAGAGAGACTTCAGAAAGAGCAGCACAAGTTCCCCTTCCTTGGTAATCATCCTGGTCCATAGCATTCATGTTGGTTACTTCAGGCACACCACCTCAAGTGCACGTCTCCCTTCCCCAGCAGTAGAAATACCAGAGCCACACAATAAGTAAATAACTGTACTCAATACTACTCCAGCTCTATAGTCTGAGGCATTTCACCTCCCCCATTCTAATGGTAGGCCTATCATTTTGCATGTCCCAATTCTGCCCCACATCTGGAAGATCTGAATCCAAGTTTATCCTTCTGTTTGGGGGCGGGGGGGGAGAACAGAGGGAATAGATGTCAAAAGCAGGCAGCCCAGAACTCCTGTTCGTGCTGGGTACTGCACAAGAGTGCAGAACTTTAATTTCTTACAGTACAAGTTTATCCTTCTGTTTGGGGGCGGGGGAAGAACAGAGGGAATTGATGTCAACAGTAGGCAGCCCCGAACTCCTGTTTGTGCTGGGTACTGCACAAGAGTGCAAAACTTTAATTTCTTACAGTACCCTAGAGTGATGCAGTGTCAGGAGCATCGTGGGAAAATTAAAATGCCAGCTATCAAACCCAGCTGCCCAAACCTGATCAGAGCAACCAGGATGGGCATATTAGGAGAGGCTCAAGACAGCACATGCTTGGTCCTTCTGGGACACGGAGGCTCTAGCAGCCCCCATGAGGTCATAAGTCAGGATACGACAGGTTAAGAGTGGGAGAAATACCATTTTTGGACCACAGCTCCAAGAATCCCTGGGTGCCGGTCTGGCAAAGGTCTCTCCCCCCCTCCCCCTGCCACGAGAGTGGGCTCACCATCTCTCAGAGAGCAAGGGCTAGATTGACTTGTGGATTGGGGCGTTGGCCAGGGGGAAGCAGGTGCTGGTGTTGAGGCCAGAAATTTTGTCATGGCAGGACTTGGATTCAAGAAGCAGAAAAGTGGAGCAGAAGAGGAGGACTCTTGGGCAGACACCACGGACTGGGAGGCATGTGAGGCCAAAGAGGTACAGTCACCACCAGAAAGTGCAATGACACCGCCATGATCTCAAATCCGGTCACTGGGTTGAGTTGCTAGTGCTGTCAGAGGAAGCCAGTTGGGTCTGTCAGGACCAGGGCAAGCACCAAGAGGCACAGAGGCTCGACAACTATCATTGAGCCCCCTGCCGGCAGAGAAAAGAGCAAGGGCAAGTGACCCCATTGCAGAGAGCCCGCAGTCAGCCTGCCGACGGGTACCTACCTGGAAGGTCAGTCCCCAGCTCCTCCCCACCCAGTGCCCGGCTACAGGGGAGAGGTCAGCCACGCCTTTCAAGAGGATTACTGCACCCATGGGATGGCAGCTACTGGCAGGGACTATGGAGGGAGGTATAGTGGGAGAAGGGGCCTTCACCAGTCCCCTCCAGGGACCGCCTGCATCCAGCACCCTTGTTGTGCCATCAGGTGCCTGGCCCACCTCCAAAGGGTCCTAGAACTCGTAGAAGAAGCGGGTCTCCCCTCCTCCCAGTCAATGACCTTTGAGGGGCACTGCCCCAAAGGCGGTGGGAGCGAACCTAACTCCCTGGCACCCTGAGTGGTTAGTTTTATGTTTGGGGCCCTGTTGGCCCTTTAAGGGTTCCACAGCTTCAATGAAGAGCGCATTGCAGCAATTACTCTCCTTGTTGTCATGGACATTGTGTGTGTGTGTGTGTGTGTGTGTGTGTGTGTGTGTGTGTGTGTGTGTGTGTGTGTGTGCATGCACGTGCACGTGCCACTCACACTAGGATTCTGGGAATTTCTGTTTGGGGCCCTGTTGGCCCTTTAAGGGTTCCACGGCTTCAATGAAGAGCGAATTGTAGCAATTACTCTCCGTGTTATGGATGGGTGTGTGTGTGGGGTCACTCACACTAGGATTCTGGGAGTTACATTCCACAAAAAATCACACTCCAAGATCTCACATGAGAAATCAGGAGCTTTGGCCTCCTTCCGACCTCCAATCTCTCACGGGCCCTGTTGGCCCTTTAAGGGTTCCACGGCTTCAATGAAGAGCGAATTGTAGCAATTACTCTCCGTGTTATGGATGGGTGTGTGTGTGGGGTCACTCACACTAGGATTCTGGGAGTTACATTCCACAAAAAATCACACTCCAAGATCTCACATGAGAAATCAGGAGCTTTGGCCTCCTTCCGACCTCCAATCTCTCACCCCACTGCCCCTTAGTTGAATGTCACTGCCGAGATGCAGCCTCTTCTCTTGGGCACTGGGTTAACAGAAACATCAAGCAAATGCAGAGGGAATGGAAAGTCAAGATCATCAAGGCCTCACCTGTGCAAGATTTTCTCCGCCTGCTGCAGGGAGATGTAAACTCCCAGGCCGTGGAAGGTTTGCTGGATCTCGGACACGTCGATCTGGCCTACAGCAGAAGCACAGGGACAAAGAAGATGCCAGTCAGTGTGGGGGGGAAAGAGGAGGTAGCCCAGGACATTGATGGGTCCAGAGAAGCTAAGGAGCCAGGAAGGTTTGATGGGGCTTCCTAGTGGGAGGAAAGGGGTCTGCGTGCCCACACCCCTGAGGTGCGTAAAGGAGAAGCAAAGGTCTGGCTGGTCTTGAGGGATGTCTTGAAGGGGACAGTAGTGGATCAGTGAGTGGGGGGTTAGCAATCTAAGTGGTGGCTGAGGAGGGGGGGGCATGCTGTAAGAGCAGGGAGGAAGATGCCATGCAATCAGCCATACCAGCCTTCTGGGTTCCCATACTGAGCCCCCTGCCGGCATCCCACCTGGAAGAGAGACAGAGAAGGCTGCAGATGTGCGTCATGGTCCAAGTAGTCAGAAGGGTCACCTTGCAAGAGTCCAGAAGAGACATGTCCCAAGCCTCCCACGTCTACCCAAGCATCTGCATTTCAGGGCTGCCATTGATTGGACAAGGTAAGGTAAAGGAAGCAGCAGGAGAGGATACCTGAAGTGGGAATCAGGTGAAGCCCATGTAGCTGAAAGCAGAGGCAAATGTAAGGAAGAAAGCTGTTTTATCTCAGCCAGCTAGACAATGAGCACACTGGTGGTGGTGACGTGTGTGCTTGTGCATTTTGAGGTGTATGTGTGTGAAAGTAAACACCATTGCCACATCAGACATTCATTCTAGCCTCCCCTCCCCTGCTTGCCACACCTATAAATGCCTATGCATCCCTGTCACCTTTGGACTCTGCCCTCTAGTGGTAGGAAGGGTGAATGGGTTGTTCTTTTGAGCATTCCACCTGTTTAATGTTTGTTTTGACACATGTTTGTCTTGGAGACCGTATGACATACACTCCTCATTTCCCAGCTCTTCTCTCTACTGCACACTTACAAAGTTACAAGGGAAACCAAAAGGAGCAGAGGGAGGCAAAATGAAACAGGAAAAAACAAGAAAAAAACCAGAACAAAACAAAACAAACAAGATGTATAGGTAAGGGGGGTAGATGGTGCCATCAGAATGTGTCTCTTGAGCTGACCGCTCTATATCCCTTTTTTGAACCAGGGATTGATGTGGCCAGGAAACTTTATGCAGAATATATTGCTACTCCCTCCAAAAAGAGAAGAAGACTGTATTACCTAAAGCAGGGGTCTCCACTCTACAGCCCGCAGGCCACATCCGGCCTGCCTTGTCTTTTTATCCAGCTTAGGCATAGGAAGAGGGAAGGGGGAACCCGAGCAACCCCCACACGCACTGTCTTTGCAATGGCAGCAGGGGTGGGATATCACTTGCGTCCCCTTTCCCTCCTTTTCCTATGCCCGAGCGGGGGTAGGAAGAGGAGTGAAGCCTGACCTAACCAATCCCCCACCTCCGCTGTCTTTGCTTGGGGGTCGCTTGGGGCCCCCTTCCCTCCTTCAGCCCTCGAAAATGTGTAAAATATATGATGTGGCCCCCACAAGGAAAAATTTGGAGACCCCTGGCCTAAAGCCATGGACGGCAGCTCTCCTCAATGCGGTGCCTTCAAGACTGGTTGGCTGGACTACAGCTGCCATCGTCCCTGAGCAACATGGGCAATGCCTCCCAATATCTCCAGAGGGCAGCAGCAACTTTGGGAAAAAATTGAACTAAGGACACCACGGATAACATGCCAGAGTTTAGAACAAGGGTGAGGACCCGGTGGCCCTCCAGTGGCTCATGGACTGCAACTCTCATTGCTTCACAGTTCTTACCACTGGCTAGTGTTGACGGGAGCGGAAGCCCAACAATATTTGAGGGGGCAACAGATTCCCCATCTCAGCTCTGAAAAATGCCAAGAAAGCGAGTCCAGCTAGAGGATGTAACAAGGAACAAGAAGGGAAGATTCTCACCCACTCCACCCTCTGCTTACTTAGGAGGTAGTGCTTCTACCTAAAGGACAAGGGCAGGTGATGCCTCTAATGTTGTTGTTACATGCCATCAGATCACCTCCGACGTACAGCTACCCTATGGATGGTTATCTCCGAAATGTCCTGTCCTCAACAGCCCTGCTCAGCTCTTGCTAATTCAAGCCTGTGGTTTCCTTAAGGGGGTCAATCCATCTTGTATTTGATCTTCCTCTTTTTTTTCTGCTGCTTTCAACCTTTCCCAGCATTATTATCTTTTCCAGAGGATCTTCTCATGATGTGCATCCATCTTGTATTTGATCTCCCTCTTTTTTCTGTTGCTTTCAACCTTTCCCGGCATTATTATTTTTTCCAGAGAATCTTCTCATGATGTTCCCAAAGTAGCCTCGGTTTCATCATTTTTGCTTCTAGAGATAGCTCTGGCTAAACCAAAAAAAGAGTCACAAATTATTTCAGCCCGCATGGGCCTTCATCAACCTGAGCACCACTGACAGGATCTGACACATGGGGTGAAGGTGTTCTTGCTGGCTTGTGTTCAGGGCCATACTGCCCAGCCCCAATACTAGATACAGTTCCCAAAGTAGCCTCGGTTTCATCATTTTTGCTTCTAGAGATAGCTCTGGCTAAACCAAAAAAAGAGTCACAAATTATTTCAGCCCGCATGGGCCTTCATCAACCTGAGCACCACTGACAGGATCTGACACATGGGGTGAAGGTGTTCTTGCTGGCTTGTGTTCAGGGCCATACTGCCCAGCCCCAATACTAGATACAGGGAGAGGCAGGTGTTCTTGCTGGCTTGTGTTCAGGGCCGTACTGCCCAGCCCCAATACTAGATAAGCTACAGGGAGAGGCACTTGATATGACAAGGCTGGAAGGATGGTTCCATGTATGTCTCATGTCCTCAGCAGTTACAGATACGTCATCTATATTCCAAAACCCTTCCTTCCACTTGCCTTCTTTATTCCTGTTGTCTGGTGATCTGTGCCTATGAATGAAATATCTTCCAAGCATTCCAGTTCATGTTTTCTAAATTCTCAAACCAGCAGTACACTGACTATTGCTGAGACCCACAGGAAAGTCTAGGAAGATCACAAGGCTTTTCTATTTGATTACTACAAATTCACTCTCCCTCCGTTCCCATGGCCTCCTGCAAGTAGGACAGCCTATACCAGCTCTCTCTGATCTAGCTCATCTCTGACCTCCTGACCTGTCAGTAGGACTGGGGTGTTCCACTTCACTCTTAGTCCTCTTCTCCTCCTGCCCACGGGGCTATAAATATAATTCTCAGAAACACTGTATTGGGATCCAGGTTCTTGGGTGGGGCTTAAGAAAAGACCGAGGGGACGTGGTGGCGCTGCGGGCTAAACCGCAGAAGCCTTTGTGTGCTGCAGGGTCAGAAGACCAGCAGTCGTAAGATCAAATCCACGAGATGGAGTGAACGCCCATCGCTTTGTCCCAGCTCCTTGCCAACCTAGCAGTTCGAAAGCATGTAAAAATGCGAGTAGATAAATAGGTACCACCTCGTGGGAAGGTAAACAGCGTTCCGTGTATAGCTGTGCTGGCCACGTGACAATGGAAACCCTCTTCGGACAAACGCTGGCTCTACGGCTTGGAAACGGGGATGAGCACCGCCCCCTAGAGTCGAACACGACTGACTAAAATGTCAAGGGGAAACTTTACCTTTACCTTTAGGAAAAGACTGAGAACCGGTGTTGTACAGTATCATGCTCTCCACGGTGAATTGGCACTAAAAAAGGACCTGCCTTATCAGACGGGTTATGTGGGAGCAGAGTTTGCCATTCTGAAGAATATGAATGCCTGCACATGATCAGCTGTTTGCTTCTCATGGCCCTGCGGTCACCCTTCTCCACAGCGCTGCCCAGGGAAATAGATCAGTTTTATGCCCCCACCCCCCCAGTACCACAATGCTGAACATCACCTGGGAAGATTCAAATTGAAATCATTATTCTCCCACTCCCCCCACATTATTCTCAGAATAATGTGGGCCTGGAAAATTCACTCATTCTTTCCCTCCAGTCCAATCTATCTCTCAGGGATGGTGTGAAGATCAAGCCTAATTAGCTAGATAATGCCCTAAGAAGGGAGGCCAAAATAAAAATGCAATAATATAGAGTCGCTTATCCGTGTCTTTAGGAGAGGGGCAGAAGATCTGTGGCCTTCTCGATATTGCTGGACTACAGCTGCCATCTTTCACCACTTCGGAGTGCAAAGTCCTAATGTGAGCCAAGAGTTGTCCACCCTTGCTTTAGGACGGGGTGGGTGGGTTATTTCAATCTTTGAAACATGGGGGGGGGGTGTTTGCACACGTTTGCAAAACTTTAAAAGGTTATGGTTTCTATGCAGTTTTCCAGCATAACGCTACTGATGATTATGCCCCAGCTTCATATGATGACTCAGAGAGAGGCACGGGAAGAAAGAGATGATAGCCTCTCTCCGCAGGCTACTGCAAGAGAGCTCCCTATAATCTCCTATGTTGCTGACCTAGATGTGCAGCTCACAGCTGTGACATGTTCAGCCAAGACGTCTCTTGCACAGCACCCAGGAACAAAAGGGGGCCAACCCATGTCAAGCGGCTCGCATTCCCAAAAAAATTACAAACCGCCCTTGCACGAACCCTGGCGCACACCTCTGACAGTGTGCTCATGGGGCGAACGGGCAAAACGCCAGAAAATTTAACCCTACAAACGGGCCCCAGCCCAGCCATAATTTGAAAGAGCCTCTTTGCTCAGAACTTCCCCAGAAGATTAAACAAGACACAAAGGGGGAAGAAGGAAGGGAACACGGAGGATCCAACGGAAGGAAACAGTCGGTCAGTGGAAGGGATAAAGACCGATACATTTAAAAACAGCAAGAAGGGTTGGAGGAGTGTAAGGAAAGTGCAAGACAGGTGCACATGGAGTCATCATCTAGCCCCTTCTGCCTTGCTTCTCGGTTGGCTGGACCCTCCTCAATGCTTCTGAACAAAGTGTTCGAATCTTGCCCTCTTACTAGCCGCTGTTGGGTATATGGACACAGCGGCAGCTCCTGGGTCATCGCTAAGCGTGGGAGTTTCTTTCTCACA